TGTATTCTACTCAGTCAGAAGCAATTTCTTCATCAGACTGTCCTGAATTTCTTCAACTTCCACACACTTGCCTGATTTCCAAATAAAAATGCACCTTTCCCTGCTTTCCTGAGGTCTCTGGGCCTTCTCTCTTTTGACACCCATGCTCTATTCCCATCCCTTCTCAGCTCATTTTAGATTTTCTCCTTCCATTCTTCTCCCTATCACCTTCTTTTCTCTTGGCCTACGAAAAAACCCTTTTCCCCATTATAAAAATCAATGTAAGTAAAACCCATTTCCTTGATCATGTCATCCAACTTCCTTGTTTCCCTTCACAGTCAAGCTTTTTGCTCACTGTTGTCTCTATTTTCTCAGTAATCATTTGCTCCTAGTTTCCAGAAATGATTTCTGCTGCCACCATTACGTTGAAGCTTTTTGGACAAAGGGCAAATGACAACAGCAACTCTATGCTACCAACCTTGGGATAGTCCAATATTAACTGTCCAGGCCTTACTTTGTTTACCTGCCCTGCAGCATCCAACAGTCTTGGCAGTACCTGCCCTAAGCACACTCTCCTTCCTTCATTTCACAGGCATCACTCTTCCTTTCTTCAATAGCTCCTACTAAGGCACCCCTCTGAGCAGAGGGCTCTTCTTCCTCTGGCTGTCATGCAATACCCAGGATTATCTGTCCTTAAAGTAGATTTTCAAATGTGTAAAACACACACACACACACTCATACATATCCCCACACACCAAATACCACAAAAGCCTGTCCATATGACATTTTAAAAGATGACATTCTCACCAAAATGTCCTTGCCTGGTAGACTTGTCTTGACCATTACCAAAAAGAGAAAACTCTAATTCTAAGTCCAAAGAGATAATGGCAGATTCCTTAGAAAACAATGAAAGACAGGGATATATTTGTTTCTCTAGAACAGGTGAATTCAAGGCAGTAGCTGACTCTACCACATACTATGGCCTTAGGAACAAACAGAGGAGCAACTGTGCCCCATGTGAATTTGCCTTGCAAATATGCAAAAATTATACCATCAACCATTTCCAAAACCTGGGTTGGAATCATCAGTGTAATCAATTCACCTACCTCAATAGTTCAGATGAGAGTCAATGAGAAGGCCTGGTATGGGACATAGGGTAATACTAAATATTCCAAGACTAGAGGCCCGATGCCCAAAGATTTGTGCAAGAATAGGTCTTCCTTCCCCTGGCTGCTGGCACCGCCTTCGCTTCAGCCAGAGCCGCCTCTTAACTTGTTGTGTCAATTTGCATATTCCTTCCTTATTGGCTGTGGGTGCAGCCATCTTTGTCATGGAGTTATGGTCAAATTGCATATTCAGTCTTTATTTTAGGGGTGTCGAACTCAATCAGAGAAGGGGCCAAAATCTAAAATCCAGCCTAAATCGCGGGCCGAATGGTTTACTGAACAGTCATAAACTGTCATTGTGATGGAAACGCAGTGGAGTGCAGTGATGACAGCGCGGTGCGGGCCACATTGCAAGGCCTGGCGGGACGGATTTGGCCCGCGGGCCTTGTGTTTGACACATGTGCTTTATTAGATAGGATAATATACCATGTCTTAACTTATTCACTACCTCTCAACCATGAAAAATGAAGGAAGGTGAGATCAAACTGGTATTCAACAATGAACCACTTACACCATTCACTATTATTATTATGTCATGCCACTGATAGTAAGTTGTGCCACCCAAGCCTCTTTTTTTGAGGCCTAGACTTGGCACCAAAACAGTCTGTTAAAAAAGAGACAAGGATGAGAAGGAGAAATGTGAGTTGCATAAAGGAGTGAGGCAAATCTCAAAAGTAATCCCAAAGCCCAAACTTTTATTTATTTATTTTTTTTATTTAATGAAGATGCCCAGAGAATGTACCATACTTTTAAACATTAATGTAACTATCACTGTTGACAGTGAATAAAGGTAGTTTGGCACCATAACCCCACCTAGTAATGGGGGAAAACAGAGGAACTAAGGTGCCAGTGATAGATGACAGGACAAATTCTGCCTATAGCCAGTCTGGGTAATTCCAAATATTTTACCTGCTATTTCTGGAATATTCACCTAAAAGGATCAAATGAGTACAGAATCAATAAGGCATAGTTTATACGACTTATTATAGATTAACCAAATTACTTGATCATTCTGTGACTGTTACTTTGATTCTGAACGTACTTTTCAAAGTTTTGTTTTAAACACTGTCTTTCTAGGGAACCATTTTGTTTACTGGAAATGCAAGTTTACCTCAATCTGTAGAAACACAATTTTAATGCACAGTGTTACGCCACAATATTAGATACAGGACAAATAATTCGTTTTATGTGAGTTAAGAATTTAATGAATGGCAATCACTTAACTATTTTGAACTGCCACTAGGCATCAAGTGAAACCTTTTCCAAAACACATGAACAGCTATTTATGAGTTACCCTTACCTTCCTTTGTTCGTGCAATAAAATGTCAGTATAACAGAGCAATTGAGGAGGCTGACTCCAGGAGGCAGGCTGCCAAGGTTTGAAGGCCCAACCTGTCACATATTAGCCCTGTGACCTTGAAAAGTTATTTCTCCTTTCTGCCCCTCAATTTCTATATCTGTAAAATGGAAAACATAGGATTACTATGAATGATAAAATGTATAAATATACAGAAAGCACTTAGACCTGTGCCTGGCACATTGTCAGCACTCAAAAAATGTAAGCTATTATCATTAGTTATTGCATTTCTAATGGAAAAAGAAAAATGCTGATGGCTTTCTCAAAGACTTCTCCACCAGAAATAATCTCTCTTGCCTGTCAGCAAAACTGCTCATGAAAGCAAGGGAGTCAACAGTGAGAATAAGCACCTATGTCATGCACAGGCTGTGCACCACACAAGCCTGAAAGCCCCAAAGTTGTTTGCTTTACAATACCACAAATATTAGAGTCAGAGGTTTCAAGATTTTGCTAAACCACTTCCAGCTACATTCAGAAGACGGTAATATAACATGGTTTGGTTGACTGTCAAGTCATGGGTTGTATAAACACTAGTTTACAACAAAATGACTGTAAAAGTGGTATGGTTCTTATTGGTTATATTTGAAGCCTTTTATTTTTCTAGCTGTAAATAACAGGGAGAGAGCAAGAACCGAATTTAAATAAACTGTAAGTTTCTCAACAGAACTTAGAAACTTCAGTTCAGCCTCTTTATATGTGCAAGATCAAACACTGTATACTTTATAATTTGAAAACCAAACACATCCTTAGCAAACTAGGTTCCAAACCTAGCTCTATTACTATTAGCTGTATAGCCCAAATATTGCACCTCTCTCTCTCTCTCTCTCTCTCTCTCTCTCTCTCTCTCTCTCAGAAAGAAGTAATGTTACTAATCTCTTAGAACTAAAAAGAAGATTAAATGAGATAAATGTTGATAATAAATAGTAGTTGCAACTGCCAATAAATAATTCAGGAAAATATCATTTACTCTAGCTTCCCCCGTCTCCCTCTCCCCCCCCTCCCCCCCCCCCCACACACAAAGTATACACAACAAAGAAAAAAGAATCTGAGCCAGGAAATATGGGGAAAAGTATAAAAATAAAATAATTTAAGGTTCCTTCTATGAGGGGGAGGGGAGAACTATGGTACTCAGGAAAAAGTAAAGATAAATAAACGCTACATTGACAAGCAAAGAAGTGTGAGAAGAGTCATAGATATTTATTAAATAACACAAAGAAATCTGGAAACAATGTATTTCTCAGTCATTATCAGAGATGAAGTCTATGTAAATAGAAACTCCAAGGATGACATAACTATAATGCAGTAACATACCCTACCAAAGTAGGCTCTGAGATACTGTAATTTAAAATTATTATAAACTAAGTAAACTAATATTTGGAGGAAACTTAAAATAGAATGATACGGTTTGGAGTGGGGTGGAGGGTAACAATGGGGGGAAAAGGGAACATTTGTAATACTTTGAACAAATACAATGTCATAAATTCTATGGATTTTACACTTACCATTAACATACTTTATGTTCTTTATGTTATGTATATGGGATAAAAACATTTTAAAATAGTAATAATGCCTAGTAAAGGAAATGAATAATCTACACATCAAGAAACTCTATTGTTTCATTCAACAGATATCTACTGATTGCTGACTAAATAAAAGAATTTAATTTTATATATAATTTTAAAAAGCAGAGTAAAACAAAGGAATACCACTTTTTACCTATAAAATTAGCAACTAAAAAATAATTCCAAGGCTGGCAAGAATTCAATTAAATAGTCACTATAATACAGGTTTGTGGGAGTGTAACTGGTACAAATTTTCAGGACGGTAAGTGGGAAAGTGTATAAAAAGCTTTGAAAGTGTTTATGTCCTTTTACCCATTAATCCACTTCTAGGCATTTAGTCTGAGGAAATAACCAGAGATGTACACAATAACTGACATAAAAGGATGTTCACTGCATATTTATCAAAGTAAAAAGCTGCTAATAATCTAAATCTTTAACAGGAATTAATTAAACAATTTGTCATCTAGTCATATAAAGGAACACAATGAACCACTACTCTCATTTGAAAAGAAATTATTTGATGGAAGAAAAAATGACTATTCTAAACTATGTACAGTAAGATTGCAATTTGCTTTTATACATACAAATATATACATATACAACCAAAAACTGGAAAGCTAAATATCACACTGTTAACAAGTTTTCTCTGTGTGATGTTATTTTTAGTTTTCTTAATTATATATTTTTTGCATTATCCTTCAAATTTCCAGTGTAATCATATATTATTTTTATAATGCAGTGGTCTTTGTGGTTTGCATCCTAAACATCTACTCCACGTATATCAACGAGGGTAAACTCACACCACTTGTCCGTAACAATGTCCTGACCACAAAGTTAAAAAGAGACATCTACTTTATGCAGTTCTTAAGCCACCTCTAAATATGGATATTGTTTGATTATTTCTAGGAGTGCTAAAATAATGACTTCAGTACTTACATTCAAAAATCTTAATTATCATCCATCTTCCACTTTGCCCTTCACAGGTAAGGTTGGATAAATGGCAGTACTGTATTAAAAAAACAAAAACAAGAAACAACTTACCACAACAAAAAAGCTAGGTTATACAACACAAAATAAGACAAGATAAAGCAGCATCAAGCCAACACTATAAAACATCATGGACAAAACCAGAAAAGACAAGAGGAACATGGGAGTCTGGAAATAAAGTTGAGGGTTCTGTGACTCGATACTAAGAATATACTAAATCTAACATAAGTGGCTGAAATCACAGAGGAATTTTAATTGCCAAATGGAAATAATTTTTAAAAGCAATTACACAATGCCCTTTTAAAACAGCATCCTAAAACTGGGATGTCTTGGGGGCTGGCCACCATTAAGAATTACCACATAGAAAATTTGAAGATGGAGGCTTGGGCAAATGCCTGTACTTGCTGCCTCTCGCAACCACATCAAAATTACAACTAAATACACAACAATCTCACCTAAAACTGCTGGAAAGCTGGCTGAATGGAAGTCCTACAACTAGAGAAGTGAAGAAAGCACACTGAGCCTGGTAGGAGGTGCAGAGTCATGGAGGTGACTGACCAGGCACCCACATGTGCCACTTTTTTATCAGGAGGGAAATCATCTCTGCAGAGGCCGCCCAGGAGAGCAAGGAGTCCCAGCCTGACACCAGACCCCCAGCCCAGTGTCTCAGAGCTGGAAAAAGAAGTCCCTACAGGCAGTAAGAATTACGGGTTGTAAAAAACCTGTGAGGACTAGGGCTCAGTGACACACAGGCTGCTGGAGACCCAGCTGTTCCTCTTACAAGGCTGGCAGCACAAACTGAACTTATAAGGTCTTGCTACCTCTGAGCTCTAGCACCAGGATGAAGCTACGGGAAAGACAGACACATATGAGGAGGAACTAGGCTGCCCAGCATCCGGTCAGGAACTTGGAGACAGCTTTATCCCAGATTGGGATGTTCGCAGGTGTTCCTATGCTGAGACCTCCCCAGTCATAGCGCTGACTAGCAGCCATTTCTGTTTGATCCACCCTGATAATTCCCTAAGACCCCACCTCATCCAATTTACAACCCCACCCAAGCTGTGTACAATGGCTTTTGCATATGAATGGCCTGTTCTTGCTCAGGCTAAAATCTCTCAAACAAGCTGCAACTAGGTCAGGGAGCCCCAAACCTATAAGTAAAAGGCCCAAGGCCTGGCACCAGCACCAGCCTGCCTTGTTTCATAGCTGGGCCTCATCTGGGCACTTCCAAACCAAATATAAATCTACAGATCTCTCTGCAGCTTCTGCTGGGTGGCCCCAGGCAGTGCGTGACTTTGCACTTCCCTGGAAACCCAAGAGCCAGGGTACCAAGTGTGAGACCATACCAGATTACAACTCTACAGATTCATAAGCGACACACGCAAGGGACGGACTCAATGAGCACCAAAGCCCCACTGAAGCAAGTTCTGCTCCATAGGGGTGTCTCGTGCATAGGAGCTCTCCCACTGTAGTCACAGCTGGTCCTCACAGCCAATTTGCCTGGAGGTCAAGTCCTCCCAGGGACACCAATAGCAACAAGACTGTACCCACAGCCCACAAAGGGATGATCTATAACTCCCAGCTCAGGTGCAGGGGAGGCTGAGAAGCTGAGCCTCTGGGTCCTATAGAACACCTACTCACAAGGCCACTCTATCAACTCAAGGAGACACAGTAGCTCTACCCAATACACAGAAGCAAACACAGGGAGGCAGACAAAATGCAGAGATGTCACAAATGGAGGAAAGCAAACTACTGGATATAGAGTTTAAAACCACGGTTATAAGGTTACTCAAGAATCTTCTAGAAACCCCCCCCCCAAAAAAAAAAAAAAAAAAAAAAAAAAAAAAAAGGAAAAGGGCCTGTCAGAAGTTAGACATACACTGACTGAAATAAAGAATAATATACAGAGACCTGACTAGTTTGGCTCAGTTGGATAGAGCATCAGCCAGTGGACTGAAGGATCCCAGGTTCAATTCCAGTTAAGGGCATGTATTTTAGTTGTAGGCACATCCCTAGGAGGGGGTGGGCAGGAGGCAGCTGATCGATGTTACTCTCTCATTGATGTTTTTAACTCTTTATCCCTTTCCCTTCTTCTCTGTAAAAAATTAATAAAATATAAATTTTTTTTAAAAAAATAATATATAGGGACTCAACAGGAAAGTAGAAGATTCTGAGAATCAAATCAATGATTTGAAATATGAGGAAGCAAAAACACCCAACCAAAAGAGCCCAAAGAAAAAAATAATCCAAAAATATGAAGATAGTCTAAGGAGCCTCTGAGACAACTTCAAGCATACCAACACTCGCATTATGGGGGTGCCAAAAGAAGAGAGAGAACAAGATATTGAAAACCTATTTGAAGAAATAATGACAGAAAACTTCTACCTCGTGAAAGAAATAGACTTACAAGTCCAGGAAGCACAGAAAGTCCCAAACAAGAGGAACCCAAAGAGGACCACACCAAGATACCATAATTAAAATGCCAAGGGCTAAAGACAAAGAGAGACTCTCAAAAGCAGCAAGAAAAAAGCAGCTACTTACCTATAAGGAAATGGCCATAAGATTCTCAGCTGATTTCTCAACAGAAACTATGCAGGCCAGAAGGGAGTGGCAAGAAATATTTAAAATAATGAATAGCAGGACGCACAGTCAAAATTACTCTACCCAGTAAAGCTATCATTTAAAATTGAAGGTCAGATAAAGAGCATCACAGACAAGAAAAAGCTAAAGGAGCTAATCACCACTAAACTAGTATTATATGAAATGTTGAAGGGTATTCCTAAAGAAAAGGAAGAAGATAAAAAATATGAACAACAAAATGGCAACAAATACATATCTATCAACAATTGAATCTAAAAATCAAAATAAACAAGAAATCTAATGAACAGAATAAAGTGATGAATAAAATAGAATCAAAGGTATGGAAATGGAACAGACTGATGATTCTCAGAAGGATGGGGGGTGGGAGGGTGGGGAGAGATTAAACAAAGACCTTATATGCATATATGCATTACCTATGGACACAGACAATAGGGTGGCCAAGGCCTGGGGCAGGGCAGAAACTGGGTGAAGAGGGGCAATGGGAAAAAAAGAGGGACATCTGTGATAATCTCAAGAATAAAGATTTTTTTAAAAAGAAGAATTATGGCATAGCTTTGCAAGACATAATGCCCTCAGGGAATAGGTAGCTATATGGTTTTTATTTGACATTTAATGGCTTGTGATTTAATCTGGAAAAATGCTAAGAAAATAGAAAATATCCCTAATTACTGGTATTTTTCAAAAATTAATTATTTTTTAAATGAATTTTTAAAGGTAACATGGACACATTATAAATCACTTTAAACACTAAACAATTCATTCCTGATTCATTTCTATAAAAATATATAAAATATACTAAGGTTATTAGAGGAAGCCAATAGCTTCCTCCTCAAGAAGCTTTTACCTTCTACTAAAATAAGAAGTATGATGATAATGATTGCATAACAATTATAGTTATAGCAGCTAACACTTACACAGTGCTCATTCTATGCCCGGAACAATTATAATAGCTTTAAACATAGCTCAATCTCCACAACCCCATTTTATAGATGAGAAACTGAGGCAAAGCGTGGTCACACATCATGAGAGACAGAGACAGTAACTGAGAAATTATTGATAACATGTCACAGAAGGAAATGGAGGCGAAATAAAAAGAGGAATTTTTTTGTTCTTACCCATATCAAAAGTAAATTTTTTAGGAACCTCAACCTAAAATCTTTGGCTTATTTCTTTAAGGAAGAACCATCACTTTATTCTGAGCATTTGCATTAATCATTTATGTCCACATGGTTTAATTCCTCTCTCAGGACTCGAACAACCGATCCCACGCCACATCATCAGTGTCATCAGTCTCTTTCTAAGATACTCACTGGGCCTTCCAACTGTCAGAGACAAACTCTCTGTCTGCTGTTTCTATTTACACATCCCAAACTTACCCACCCAAACTTCTGTGAGGAAACCACAGACAATGTCTGCTTCTGCCAAAGGATAAAGGAAACAAAATGTTTTCCACACAGTTAAAAGAATTCCATTTGTCAGATCAATCTGATGCTGCTGGATGAACTGAACACTTCATCTGACCACCTTACCACCCACTATTTAATAGAAAATCACATGATTTCCAAAATGGAAACCATTCAAATTGCCTTAAAAAAATTAAACCAGAAATGTTTATTTTTGGTCAACAACAAAAAAGCACAGTTCTAGGCAGGAGCTGCATATCTATAACATACTTTTTTTTTTGCCCAAATATAAATTTATTTCTATTTCCCTGTCACATAAAAATTCAAGATATATATCCAAGATAAATATGCCTGATAAAATTTTCTTTAAACCATTGCTATGCAGAAATAAAATCAGGTTTTCCAATTGATAAATATCCCCCATTTTCCCAAATGCAATTCATAATCTCTCATGAGCTCTGACATTTCTCGACTGCAAAGATTTATTTTCCTGTTACTAAAAATCTATGTATTAGGAGAGGTTTATATGACATAAAAGTAAAATGTTTGGTATTTAATATTAATAAAGAGAATGAAGAATTGTTTCTTTTAATCTAAAAACATTATTGCTTTCTCCAAAACGAAGGCTAATGTTTCCGCAAGAAGAATAATTTGTAAAGTAGGGTTTATTTACAATTTCACAGCCCAAGTTGAGCATGTCTTTTTTTTATATAAGATGATCTGTCTTTGCTAAGACCATATGTAGGAGAAACCTCAACTTTCCATGGCTAGCATAATAACTATTTGTTCCAGCAGATCTTAAATAGTTATAAAGAAGATGTCCATGTACTTTATTTACCTACCCTCATACTTGAAACCCACTGGACCATTTCAAGGCCGTGACCTAATCTTAGCCTGCGCTGATATCCACTGGCAAGCTGTACTTTCATACAGGTATCTGTGTCTTTGTATCCTACATAAATTTCCTTTTACAGGTTCTCATATAGGAAATAGTTACAGCACTTACACATGGTTC